GAAAAACCGTGTTCGGTATTCGGCCTTCGGCCCAGTGTTTCATTTTGTTCGGCTTCGGCCAAGAATTTTCATTTTGGTGCATCCCTAGTTCTTATATCTTGACACTGTCCAATGATTTAGTCGCCAAATCAGTTCGAGCGAACGCACACATCCTGATTAATGTTCATGAATCCAGAAGCTCGTTAATCCTTGGTGTAGGGGTGTGCGATATATATCGTCTGCGATAATATCGTAATTGTTGTTTTAATGATGTGCGATTTGACATTATCGAGTATTTTGCAAAAACCATTCAAAACATCCCTACAGAGCGTAGGCTAGTGCGTGTGCGCATTTAGTGTGTTTTCTTTCACTGCATGACTCAGTCTATTAAAATGCATTTAGAATGATCACAAATTCAAGACATGATGGCAGAAAATTTATATATTTATACCACTTCATATAGTTATTCAATTTCACACGAAGAGTGCCGTTTTTCTCCAAAAATTACCATGATTACAAATGTGACATTGAATTCAATAAACAATAAGTTAATTAAGAGACTTACGTTTTAGACACCATATTGCTTGTTTTTGCTCTATTTCGCCAACAAAAATCATTCCGAATACAGCCACAGCGCTGTTTTGTGTCTCTGAGCAACATGACGGTGTTTCGTTCTTGAATGAATCAACCGTTTAAATGATTCGGTTCAATCGCAATGACTCACTTATTAACAGTGATTTGCTGCCACCTGCTGGCAGTTTTAATTTCAAATTTCTGCCTTTTCTTTCTTTCTTTTTTTTTCTTTTCTTGATTTTTTCCATGTTTTAAATCATTTCAAATATCAGTATTCAACGTTTTATGTTTAATATATCAAACATTATTTATGCATTCGTAATTGCAGGTTAAATGCATTCATGTCTTGCATTAAACAAAATACATGTGTGTAAATACATCTAAATGCCACTTCAGATGCAGTTTCTGTGTTGATTTAATTTGCTTGGTAAAAGCCCAAATGTCTTATTATTCTAATTCCCTGATTAAATGTAAGAATTTGACTCAAAAGATAATGGACACTTTTAGAAAAAATGGCTTTATAAAGGTAAAAATGCCCATAAAATGCAAAAATCTGTTTAAACTTATTGGAAAATATTAATTTCTATCAGTATGAACTGGCCACCACACAGAATATGAAGAAAATTAAAAACATTAGGAGTCAGCAGTCCTTAAAGTCCTTAAGGTAAAGTATAGTATTTCAGTCTGGCGAGTAAACAAAAATATTTACTAGCCAATGGCGACTCAACTGCCAAGGTGTCCGTAGAGGGTTGATGTATTAAAAGTAATAGTGAATACACATTGTATTCTATGTGCATTTGGATTCCTTAGAGATGAAAAAAACAATGTCAGACTTTATGCAGACAACTGACTCATTAAGCAAAGTTTCTGCCTTTTATAAAGCATCAGGATTCCAATGAATCAGCCAAGTTTCCAACTGAATGGAGTCATTTTTAGGTACAATAAAAACTGAAGAAGCCTCTTATGCAAAAAAAAAAAACCTCTACAAACAAACATTTATAATAGTCAAGTTGCTGGCTTAAACTGCTGTCCACTTTATTGCAACATTTACTGTCTCTACTTAATGGAAGACAGTCAGTCAGTCCACAAAACTCATTCAGGAGCCCGACTTAGTGGTTAGCAGGCGACATGAATCTTGCAGCATTTCCTGAAGCCATTCCTCTTCTTCTCTATATGTGATACCCTGTTCTCTCTCTACCATTCCTATCAATAAAAGTGGCAGCATTTAATTTACATACACTAGTCATAGAAAACCTTTAAATACGGATTACATGACTTCACAGCATTCGCAGTCCCATAATTCAAATTACAATTAAATATCTTTCAAAAGTGTGATAATATTTATTATGTGATATATTTATTTATGTCATGTGTCAAAATAGGGCTGGGCGATACAGCTAAAAAATGTATCAACGATATAATGTTTCATATCATTCGGTATCGATAATTATTGACATTTTTTTATAACCTTTTTTTAAAACAAAGAGCAATAGAAATTTTTTTTATTTAACCACTGTAAATGTAATATTATTATTTTTTATTCACAATCTTCTCATCACAGGCAGGCACAGCACTCAATTCAGCATGTGTTCGTGTTTGTTTGCTGTCTGTGTCACTCATAGCACGTGCCTATATCGTGAACTATATTGAACATTTTTTATATCGTTATCGAAGAAGGTGTACCGTAGATAAATATCGATACCGTTTTATCACCCAGGCCTATGTCAAACGTTATAATCCATCTCTTGGGGGAAAATAACAGTGGATGACTGTTCTAACAGAAGAAAAACCAGCAATCTGCAAGAAAAATATCAAGTAATCTCACTTCATGACCAGTGGATTTAAAGGAATAGTTCACCCAAAAATTTTAATTTGCTGAAATTTTACTCATCCTGAGTCCATCCAAGATCAGTTTATTTCTTCATTGGAACAGATTTGGAGAAATTCAGCATTGCATCACTTGCTCACCTCTGCAGTGAATTGATGCCCTCAGACTTAAGAGTCCAAACAGCTGATAAAAACTTCACAAAAACTCCAGTACACTCCACTACACCAACACCTTGTGAAGCTATGTGTTTGTCGCTTCTGGTCAAAATACCAGTCCATAATCCATAATAACGCTTCATCCAGTGAAAAAGTCCATCCACTCTTGTCCTCTCACATCAAAATCCACCAACATATTTGTTAAAACTGTTTATGAACAGTGATTGATCTGTGCATATTTATCTCTTGATTCAGACAAGATTACTTTTTCACTGGTGAAAGCAATAGTATGGTTAGAGAAATGGTTTGTTAAAAACATCTTGGTGGACATTGTTACATTCACTTAATTGATGAACTGGAGTCGTGTGGATTACTTGTGGATAATTGCTATGTTTTTATCAGCTGTTTGGACTCTTATTCTGATGGCACCCATTCACTGCAGAGGATCCACTGGTGAGCAATTGACGTAATTTTACATTCTCCGAATCTGTTCAGGTGAAGAAATAAACTCATCTACATCTTGGATGGCCTGAGTGGGAGTAAATGTTCAGCAAATTTTCTATTTGGGGTGAGCAATTCTTTTAATAAATGTGCTCACAGTATGTAAAATACAATTCAAAGGATCATGTAATCTATTTAAAACAATACACTGCTCATTATTCATGTCAAAGAACACTCAATAAGCAGCATGCACATGCTGAGTGACAAAAGGGGTCAACAGTTTCCCACAAGCGCTTGCAAAAGACCACCTGGGACACAGAGACAGACTCCATATGCTCTTAAGAGCTAAACCAACATCTGCACAAAATCTCAGTCAGAAAAAGAGAATCCTGAAATCGCTAAACCATGTATGAGACATTTTTTTCTTATTACAACCATGCTTACTCTCCTACAACTAACAACGTCATTTCTGATTAGCTTGATATGCCCTGCCAGCAGAGCAGCTCCTGTTATGCATGGACACAAGAGGATGCCTGCAAAATATTGGTGCAACTATCCAGAAGAAAGGACAGTTGTTTACATTACTGACTTCAGTTCTCAGTTTATGGTCCAACAGTATGGAGGAACTAATGTATTGTTAGTAGGAGAAGCAATGCATTGCTCGATTGCTGCCTTTATGATGCCATCCACGTTTCAGCACCACGGACAGCATCACTAACTGCACAACCCATATGAAGCAGTTAATTTTAGTACTACAAACTTGAAGAAGGCAAGTTATAACCCAGTCCTACCTGGTTTAGTTTATAAGCAGAAAGGACTGGTGGTACATCCCATATAAGTACATGAGGAGGTCTGGTGAATGGCTAATATATACTATCATGTGACAACTCAACGTCACTTTTATACAGTCACTGCATATTACATTATGCAAATGAAAATGACAATAATAAAGAATGGATATACAAACACTGTTTTATTCTATTTTATATTAGCATAATGACCTCAAAACTACTAAGTAATATGGGAACTAAATAAAGGCATCATTAAAAGAACTAATGAATACTTGTGAATAATATACCATATATGTTCAGGCAACTACTGAATAAATTGTGGTGAGTTGGTTAAGGAGAAAAATGGGTCTAACACTATAAAATATATTTGTTTTAAAAAATATTGCATAATGTAATTGTTAAAAGTGACTAATTTAATTGGGGGAAGGGTATTTTTGTGTCAACAACTGAGCATGCAGCAGGAGAGAAAGATGGGCTATTTTTATGCAAATGAAATCATCATCATAAAGATAAAATGTGATGAAGGTCGACCTTCTCAAAACAAATGAAAATACGCTCTTAAGCACAGTTGTTTTTTTTTGGTCTAGTAAGGGTATTATGAATGAATGCATCTATCATTCCCTAATGATGGCTGACAGTGTCACACAACTCTCCTTTCAACAAGTAGTCCAACGTTTAACCTAACTACTATTTTGCTCAAATGAGCAACTTCGTGTAAATTAATCTCATCAAAACGTCTAAAAGGCTAAAGATTAAATATAAGATATTATATTACATGACTTTTCAGTAGCATTGTTATTTAATATAAATACATTATACTATACTATTTATCATCTAGAATATTTTTCCATTTTAAGATTACATACACACACAAAACATTTTGTTTAAAGCAGGACGCATTACATTATAAAGCCTTCCGCAGCAGTGCGTCTTCCATGCAGTCACATCAAATAAATATATAAATAAAGATGAACACATTTCTTAAGTTTAGTGTCTATTTTATATCTATTTTGATATTACTCCGTACTTATGTAATTACACTGGGCTGCAACATGAGTGTAAAGTGTGACCAAACCAGTGAATACTGAGTAACATTCATAATTGACTAATTCATAAAAGTTATTATTAGTCGAATAAGGCCTACAAAAAGCTTTTCTTCGACGAATTTTACGCACTAATCCACTCCACACACTTAAATTCTGTTCAACGCGGTGTCACTAAAGCAAAACTTACTTTTCTAGTCGTGAACAGACGTGAAATGTCCTCGAGTTCTCAGTCCAGAAGTCTTCTGGACAAAATGAACTTCTTTTCAGTGTCCGTTAAGTTTTGACGGCTATTCTCTGCACTGTAACGGTCGCAAAATCCGCGGATGCCGTCCCATCTGTTTCGCGCCGGCGGGTTTTTTCTCAGTAGAGGGTGATGGAGATGAGCGCGCTCGAACGAGAGAGAAACAGTGAGAGTGAGAGCAGCGCGCGTGAGGGAAATAATGCACGCTAATGTGACTGGCGTTTCTAGGGGTGTGGCCATCTAATATCATAAGAGCAAATATTAAGAACTTAACGTGTCATTTTAACTTCTCCTGTTGCTGCTTATGAGGAAAAAAAATCACTGCACGATACTCGTTTCTTTGAATCAGTTAATGAGGCAAATCACACATTTACAAAAGTGCTCTATAGTGCTCCGATGAAAGGAATACCCTCTTTTATATCTTTTAAATGTTTAAACGGATAAAAGCAAATAGTTTGTGTAAGAAAATAATATATTTGAAAGATGATCAACGTCAACATGATCATTCAACAGCACCATCAAGACAAATTATGATTAAGGTATATTAAGGAGTAATAAATATGGAAACACTGTTTTATTCCATTATCAATTAGCCTGATGATCTCAACATCATTAAATAATAACAGCAAAATAATTTGTAATTATTTGTCCAATGCACCATTATGAATAATTAATACTGATGGATATTTCTCTATAAATGTTCAGTACTCAAATGAATGGCTGAATACATGGCAGTGGGCTGGTTAAGTATATTGATTGCAAAGTCAAAGATAAGAAGAGTCCGGCACCAATAAAACACATGCTATTTATAACATAAAACTGGTCTATACAAGTGTCTAATTTGGGGGAAAGGAAATTCACTGTTAACAACTTATAATGCATCACAGGAAAGAATCTGACAAATCATCATAAGGAGAAAGTGTGATTAAGGTCTGGCACTTTCAACTTGAAACAAACTAAAACGTAACTGCATGCAAAGACAAGCCCTTAAGCACATACATTGCTTGTTTGTCTAACTGGTTTCTTTCTGAATGAATGCATGTCATTCCCTAATGATGGTTGTTGAGTTTACTTGATGTTTACCACGTTCAGCCAGTCATTATTGGATCAAGATTATCATACAGCTATTCAAATAATATATACACAAAGGTGTATTATAGAGTCACTTTATGATATAAGATTAAAGGAAACTGTACTACTCATTTCAGTTTAAAGTGTTCAGAAGGACATACTTTGGATCACAATCTTACAGAGACCATTTCATCCCTCTTCTTTCTCAGTGAAACAGCTGAGCAGGAGGGGTCAAACTCAGCCACCATAGGGAATTTGTCGTTGCAAGCTTCACTCTTACTTGCGATAATAGTTTGCCCTAAGGGTCTCAATGTCTTAAAGAATTAGTTGAAGCATAAGTGTATAGTGCCTGCTTGAGTGGCTTCTCATGTTCGCCAAAATTCATCTCACATAGACAGAAAATATAATGGAACCAAGAAATATGATCAAGCATGTGAAACATTTTGACTCAATCTACATATGATTGATTTCTCATCTATGCTATACAAAAAAATCTAGTCTCTTATGACTAAAGAAGACATTATATTTGGATGATTAGACATACACTAGAAGCTGAGATATTGTCATGCGTGGACATAAGAAGATCTCCTGAAATAAATATTGTACTGTGCAGAAGTGGTATGGACATGAGGGAGGAGTTCTTGTCTTTCAAAACGTATTGTATTGTGAGGGCTTTCTCCGTGATGGCAGCAACACTTCTAGAAATAAGTAGTGTTAACAAATAAACAGCTTGCATAAACTGACATTCTGCAGGGGACGTCCTCTGCCACCAGCCTCTAAAAACAGTCAAAGCTCACACCAAAATCCACCAGAGACCACACTAATCTGCACATCCTCATATTAATTTGACATTTTAGTGTTACAGTACTGGAAACTCAAAGCAAGCTCCCACCATCAGGTTCATATCACTGTATAAAAAAAATAAAATAATAATAATAAAGATTTTTCAAGTTTGTAAATGAAAACAAATATTACTGGAGTATGTGTTTTTACAAGAAAATAACATTTCAGTCTTTTTACTCCAAAATGTCATGTGTTTACTTGCTGTTTCTTTGTAATTGTGAAATTTAATAGTCAAAATTGTTTGTACACCATGTTATTCAGCGCAAGACAGAAATGGCCTTTATAATGAAAAAAGACTAATGACTAGATTAATAAAACCCATATTTTTGTTTGTTGAATCACTGTTGCATTACCAAGCCGGTTTAAAAAAAAAAATCACAGCAGTCTTTCTAAACAGTTTAGAAAAGACCGACAACATACTGACAGCATCTAAAACGTAAAAAAAAACTTTTTAAGTATACAAATGTTACGTATACAAATAATCACAAATCTCTGAAGATTGACTAAAACTGAATTTGCCAGACTTCACATCACCATTATCACCACATTTAATTAATCCCAATTAAATGAATAGTTCACGCAAAAATGGAAATTTACTCACCGCTAAATTTGCTTAAAACGCTAAATTTCTCGAAATCTGTTCCGATTAAGAAACAAACTCATCTACATCTTGGATGGCCTGAGGGTGAGTACATTTGCAGCAAATGTTCATTTTTGGGTAAATTGTTATTTGAATGTTAATACATAAATATTGCCCATTTAATACCATTAATTTAATATTTTAAACACCTTGGCGGATTTTAAAATATTGTCTTTGAAGTTGTTCAAACATAAAAAGCAAATTGCCAGTCAAATCCAATCTATAAAACTCAAAAGAACTGTAGCCAGAAGCTTTATATCTTATTGATATTCCTTGTCTCACTCCCATGTTATAAATACAAACCTGAAATAAGGCTATACTTGCTGTTTTTGAATATAGGGAAGTGCTCATCTGTGGTATCACAGAAATAGTTCACGCAAAAATGGAAATTTACTCACCGCTAAATTTGCTTAAAACGCTAAATTTCTCGAAATCTGTTCCGATTAAGAAACAAACTCATCTACATCTTGGATGGCCTGAGGGTGAGTACATTTGCAGCAAATGTTCATTTTTGGGTAAATTGTTATTTGAATGTTAATACATAAATATTGCCCATTTAATACCATTAATTTAATATTTTAAACACCTTGGCGGATTTTAAAATATTGTCTTTGAAGTTGTTCAAACATAAAAAGCAAATTGCCAGTCAAATCCAATCTATAAAACTCAAAAGAACTGTAGCCAGAAGCTTTATATCTTATTTATATTCCTTGTCTCACTCCCATGTTATAAATACAAACCTGAAATAAGGCTATACTTGCTGTTTTTGAATATAGGGAAGTGCTCATCTGTGGTATCACAGAGCTCATGCAATGTTAACATCACCACATTACACAAGCCTGTGTTACTATGGTTACAGATTATCACAGGCAAATATGCACAGCATGGATATCATGGCTGGTGAAACGGAAGGGGGACAAAAAAGTGATGCATTACATCTTTAAAATATACTGAGATGGTTGTAATCATCTAATGGACTAAAAGATTAAAGCGCATTCACCAATTGTTTTTTAAACACGCACATAATGCTCAAATCAGTGAATGCATATGCTTTTTAAATGAAGTACTGCAGTACAGTAAACTCAAATAATGCATTATGGTTTCAGATTGACCATTTATGCTGTGCTGAGCATTCATAAATTGTGAAGACTTGGACCTTGAGATGTGAACCATTGCTCTACAAAAAACAACATAAAATGTCCCGACACTCACAATTTATAAGGCATCCAGTAATGATTTTTAATTTTTTATTATTTAGGGGCACATCATATATAGCAATCCAATATGTCAGAGGCATTACTAGAAGAATTAAGAAAGAAACACAGGAATTTTGATGGGATTTATGGAAGAACCCTGGGGGTTGGAAGTTGATGTTGATCTGGTTGGATCTCCTTCTTACCACAATAGATCTCTCAGCTGAGTGTATAGCAAGGATTTACTAATGACTGTGATGCCTCCACTGCATTACTACATAAAGTCAAGAACAAATCCAAACTGACACTATTCATTTCCTTATTCTCTTAAAATTAATAATTCATCAGTGTGTGATACCAAGAACAAAAGTGCTTGTTTTTGTTTTTAAATCAAAACATAACTTAGTCCACCTCTAAAACAACTTTTCATATGGATGATTTTTCTTATTCAGAAACTAAAGTGGTTTGTGATGCTGACTTTTTGTATTAAAGGAGAAGGAATATTACAGAGGTTTTCATCATGTTTGAGGTATTTTACTCCAGAATGCTTCCAAAATTTGAGGCAACACTGAAGCTCTGTCCTGAAAGTTGACATTAAACTTATTAAACTGAATTTTAATGAAAATTCCTGGTCTTAATCTGATTTTTTTTTTTCATTGTTTTACTCTAAAAAATATGCTGTAAGTGAAAATGAAGGTTCCAAAAGGGGGGTTTGCAATAATGCCATAGAACCACCTTTTTTGGGCTCCCAAACAACCTTTCAGAACCATTTTTTCCTTAGTTGAAGAACAATTTAATGATCTAAAGAAACTTTTGAGCAGTGGAAAGGTTCCAAGGATGTTGAAGGTTCTTCATAGAACCTTATATGCCAATAAAGAAACTTTAATTTTGAGTGCATATTGACTTCAAGTCACAGTCATCTTGAGCTCTCACATATATTGAAATCAACTTAAAATTCACTATAGGCTGAAGTTGAGGTTCTTCACACACTTGCCATACTGAGTCCATGCTATTTGAAAGAGCAGATGCAGTGGCTGAAATGGAGATTGTTTAAATCCTTAAGGAAAAATCATGAGAGCAAGTGGAAAATACAGCCTTGCGCTGCTGATCTGCTGTCCTATATGCGCAGCTCCTGAGCTATATACTTCCACATACATACTGATTTCTGTCTACTGACACACATAATGTGTGCAATGTGATAGCATTCCCTGGAGATTGTTGCATGGAAACATTCTCCACTATGGATGAACAACATGGGGGAAAAACACTCTTAGAAAGCTAGTTCAAACACTCTTAGAAAGCTAGTTCAAACATTACGGTTTACTATTGTGACAACACGTTATGATGCTTCCATTGAACGTGGCACATAAGCACTCTACCAAATAACTTAATG